TCAAGTTTTTAATAGTATATCGGTATATCGAATATCGGTATATCGAGGTTAGACTGTATAACCGGTGGTTAACATCACCGGTATCACATGACATTATAAAAATCATGTGACTTCAACATTTTTTACGATCAAAAAAATTTTATTTTTTTTTAATAAAAGACAAAGTACAAAAATCAATATTATAACTAAATTTAATTGGCTATATATCATTGATTTTGTTTATTACATGTCCTAGCATTGTGACCTGGTTCTCCACAAACTTTACATATATAGGTTTTCCGATTTGATGTATTTTCGCTCCTTTCTTGTCTTTGTGTATTAAAATCACTACTAGTATTGGTATCAAGTACATTAAAAGGCGTTCTTGATGAAGACGCTTGCTGAGGATGTTGTTGCACTTCACGTACATACAAGTTAGGATCAGATGGATTTATTGCACTATTTTTTGTACTAACATGACGTGAATTTGTCTCTGAGGCTGACTTAATCCGTTTATTTGGTGGACGTCCACGTCTTTTCTGAACTATAGGATCTAAAATCTGTAGATTTTCTTCATTGTTTTCATCGTTGTTTGCATCTTTAATAATATTTTTCTTGCAATTAATAAACTTATTAATCATATCAATAATTTCATTTTCACATCCCAAATCAAGAGCTAAATTAAGAGCTTTCTTCATCTTTCCAAACCCATATGCATACTTAACTTTCCTTTGTAAACATTGTTTAATATTATTTGTAAATACGTCTGGTATTCTAAGTTGCTTAAATATATGCAAATCAGTTACTAAAGCAGTATTGTTATCATTTTGTTGAAACTGTGTTACTATTCCAACAGTTTCATCTTGTAAATTTGCTTGAATGTATTGATCTTGAATATCCTCTATATACCATCGTCTGGCAATAAGACCAATGTTAAATTTCGCCACCTTTGAATTTATCATAACTTGAAAATAATGTTAACATACAAGTCCACTATTAATTATAGCCAAACAAGTACATAAATGACCACCATCTATTAATAATATAATATAATGTTTGTAGGATTTGGTAAGGCCATAAAGTTCCCAAATTTCTATAATGTCAGACAGTTCTATTTCTTCTAATAAATAAAATAGAGAAGTTTGCGGTCTATCCAAATGATCTTCAAGAAATCCTTCATTATAGTTACATTGATCATCGTCCTAATTAAGAAATGTAACATTTCGCATATAGTTATATGACATCAGTGGCTTTTTTTTTCACTTCGTTACAAATCTCAAAACACTAAATTTTTAAAGTTTCATACCTTTATTGTATCAATTGACTCTTTAGAAATAATCTTAGCATGATATAACAAAGAACCAAGAATTTGTTGTTGTTGAACTGACAAAATATGAGGAGTTAAATATTTCTTCATTAATTCAACAACCTTAGGAAATATGGGTTCAATAATTGAGGGTGCCTGGTTAGTTGTAAGACTTTGAAGATATGCATTATGTCGAGCCCATTGTGCTTCATTGTCTAATAATTTTTGAATTTGAATATGTAAATTACACAGTGAAGTAGTACTACCGGTGCCTTCTTTAATTAAATGGTTTATGACTTCAACTCTTTGTGTACTTTGAATACCCGCTGTAAAACACTTAGTTTGATAGCATCTTGCCCATGCTTGATGACAATTATTCAAAGTTCGATTAAGACACTCTTAAGTTTGTGGATATTTTTCAAGTAATCGTGTCCAACGCCAGTGAAAATCATTCACAAATAGACTATTTCGGGTATGTAGAAATTCCTTATAAAATGATTGGTATTTTTTGCCTAATTTACCTGCTAAATTTTTTTGTAGGTTTTCTTGAATGTGAAAAATGCAAAGAAAATGATGTGATTCAGGGAATTTTGATGTCACTGCATTTAATAAAGCAGGATCTGCATCAGAAAATAAGCAAGTAGGCGGATTATTATTAGTTGTTTGAAGAAGACAATCAAGAAACCATTCATAACTTTCAATTGTCTCATCTTCTGATAAACATTGAGCAACAAGACGGCTTTTAGTATTATTATCAACTATGACTAAAAGAGTTAAATACATATCAAACCAATTGGTTCTGCATGTATTATCAGTTTGTACAATATCATTATATCGCAAAAGACACTGATGCTGATTAGGAGACATCCAGAATAAGCCCACAAGACGATTATCAAAAGGATCAAGTCTTGTGTAAATAATCCACCCAGGTTCTTGATCTTTTAGCTCAAATAATTTGTTAATCATATTCTGAGTATCTCCATGTCGATTGGTAAGTGGTGATTTAAACTTTTGAATTGCATTGTAAAGATCTCTTTTATAAATATACTGATCTGGAAAACTTGCAACCAATAATGGATATATTTGTTTAGATCCCATATTTCCTTTATTAACATAGAATTCGATCCTTTCAAGTATTTCATTTGATAATTTGCGATAAGGTGCGTGTAAATGTATATCAGTGATCATACTATGATTATGTTCACCAGTAATGCTCGTGATGCTTACTTCTGTTGATGATTTAGGCATTGTAAGATTTATATGCCATGGACACATAATTTTTCGAGATGAACGTTGTCGTTAATGAGTTATATCAATTATTTGATTAGAAATAGGTTTACCCAAAAAAGAACATTCAAATGTTCGACGTCACACAATTCCATTATTATCAGATTCAACGCGTTTTCTTCTCAAGGAAAATCCAGCAAATTTAGCATATTGATTAAGCTTTATTTCTGCATCCTCCCATGTAGAAAATGAAGTACCAACTTTAATTTCAATATTAGATTCATCTGACATTATACCTTCTAGTTGATCATTTAGGATATTAGATACATATGTTTTGTTATGTTTATCTTTATCCATACTTGTATATAATAGCAAAATCAAATGAAAGAATAAAACAGTTGAAGTGTAAAGGATAAAGATTATAGAGAAAAGTAATGTGTTCAGCAAAATAATAATTTAAACATGTTTAATGGGGGAGAGTAATGGGAGAGTAACGGAGAGTAAGAAAAGACATAAGCCACAATTAGCCAATTAAACAATAAACAATAAATGAAACAATAGATCAAATCTCATTAGTGCGTATCATTACTAAATTTAGATAATGCACTAAGCATCTTTAAATTAATTTTACTATTTTTAAACAATAAACACGAAATTTAATAATAATAAACATATAATGATAATATCACGTGACTGCGGTGATTTTAACCACCCGTTATTTGAAGTAATTACCTTTTAATAAATCTTACAAAAATTATACATTTAAATTTTAGTAAAAACAAAATTTGATTAAACTCTAGTACTCTACAAATATTGAATGAAAATTGGACAATAATTACAAAAACTAAATAAAACTGTACAATTTCATACGATGACTTTTTACTGGGGTATGTTATCATTTTTTGGAACCTGTTGTCTATCCTCTACTAGGTTCTTATACTGTCTGATATTTCTCAGTTAACGACGTCCTTCCTATAAAATATTTTATCCGTTATTTCTGTAAAAAGTCCGTAAAAATGGGCCTTTCGTGAATTTATTCACGGAAAATGATCCGTGATATAAGGTGATTAATTCTGGAAATCCCTATAAAAAAATTGGATACGTTTTTTATAAAGTTTTTATACGATATTTTTCCTTAGAAATAACGTACCATAATAGGATACAGAAAAATGCGCAATTCCGTATCACTAAAAACATGGTTTTGATACGGAATTTGCATGGGATTCATATGGAATTTACTGTACATGATTTGATGGGTTTGGTACGAAATCCCGAAACTCGAAATCCTGAAGGTACATAATCCAAATCCCGAAATGTCAAAATCCCGAATTGCCATAATTCCCGACATTTCATAAGCCCAATACTTCATAATCCCGAAAAGAAAAATACCGAAAAGAAAAATCTTGAAATTTATTAATAAAATAAAGAAAATCAGTATTATAGGGGTGTTGGGATTATAAAATTCGGGATTATGACAATTTGGGATTATGACAATTCAGGATTTAGACATTTCAGAATTTAGACATTTCAGGATTTAGAGTGTCGGGATTTTGTACCTTCGGGATTTCGAGTTTCAGGATTTTGGATGGATCCCGATTTGATCTCTCAAAATTTATACGATTTGGTCATTGAATTACTATTTGTATTACAGTATTTACATAAATCTAATTTTACTTTATTAAATTAAATAAAAAATAAAAAATAAACAAAATACAAATACATTATGAAAATCCCCTCCATATAAAGCTATCTATAAGATCAGGTTCATTTGGAGTCAAACAACCTAAAAAACAAAAAGAAAGAAACATAAGAACGTCTAACTTAATTGGAAACAAACCCCCCCTCATATAGTATCTGCAATCGTCCAAGTCACCAAAGGTCAGCATTCCTACAAAAAAAGAAAGAGAACTCCAGAATGTACGATCTACATA